ACCAACACCGGCCTCCTCCTCATCGCCTGGGGCCTGCAGCGCCTCAAGAGCCTCAACCTACGCTCCTGCCGGCACCTCTCCGACGTGGGCATCGGGCACCTGGCGGGCATGACGCGCAGCGCGGCCGAGGGCTGCCTGGGCCTGGAGCAGCTCACGCTGCAGGACTGCCAGAAGCTCAGCGACCTCTCGCTCAAGCACCTGGCCCGCGGGCTGGGCCGCCTCCGCCAGCTCAACCTCAGCTTCTGCGGGGGCATCTCAGATGCGGGGCTGCTGCACCTGTCGCACATGAGCAGCCTACGCAGCCTCAACCTGCGCTCCTGCGACAACATCAGTGACACGGGCATCATGCATCTGGCCATGGGCAGCCTGCGGCTCTCTGGCCTCGACGTCTCCTTCTGTGACAAGGTGGGGGACCAGAGCCTAGCCTATATCGCACAGGGTCTGGATGGGCTACGCTCCCTCTCCCTCTGCTCCTGCCACATCAGCGACGAGGGCATCAACCGCATGGTGCGGCAGATGCACGGGCTCCGCACCCTCAACATCGGCCAGTGTGTCCGCATCACTGACAAGGGCCTGGAGCTCATCGCCGAACACCTCAGCCAGCTCACGGGCATCGATCTCTATGGCTGCACCCGCATTACCAAGCGGGGCTTGGAGCGCATCACCCAGTTGCCCTGCCTCAAGGTGCTCAACCTGGGACTTTGGGAAATGACTGAGAGTGAGAAGGTCAGGTGAGAGGAGGGGGGCACCCCGAGACCTCCATCTCCTCTGGAGGGACTCACTGACTGACTGACTGCTGCAATGGAGGAGAGAAAGAGAGAGAGGGGCACGCACAGAGCCATGCTACCCACGCACCCTGGCACCGGAGGGAGGAACGCAGAGAAAGAGAGCATATCCTCAACCCTTCTGTGCTGCCTACCTACCCTTGCTCTGGAGGAGGAGGAAGGGGGGACAGGAGGAGAGAGAGAAAGCACCTGTCCTTTTCCCAGGTCATGCCTCCAGTTCCATGCTGGGGATACAGCTCCCCCTTCCCCCTGCAGCATCCTTCCCTGCAGAAGAGGTAGAAGCCCACACTCTTATGCGCCGGGGCTAGAGACACCCCTCTTTATCCCCACTCCCTGATTCCATCCCCTCATGCACTAAGGATGGATAAAGAAAGACCCTTGTTCTATTATGTATTCAGAATAGATTATTTTTGGTTTATATAAAGAGGAGTGGGAATAGAGATGGGAACAAACAGTAACAACAGCAGAAAAGGCTTCCTAGCTACACTTCTGTACTCAGCCATCCTGTGCTGGGCACAGACAAAGCTTTTTGGTAAAATAACCATTCCACCTCTGCACTTGCCCCTCCCCTGTCAACTGGGAATTCTAGCAGAAATACTGCTCCCTAGGTACCTTTTTTTTTTGTAAATCTGTTTTCAATCTCCAGTTCTGTGTTATTCTCTGCTGTGGGTGGATACAACCTCCCACTATTCCAGTTCTCCACTGCACTGAGAGTAGGGATAGCTACAGCCTCTTCTTTTGTCAGTATGTTTCCATGTCATCCTGCACTGTGGTTGACAGAAAAGCCTAGGCACTCCATTCTGTCTCCCCATCTCTCTGCTGGAGATGAAGATCCCAATTCCTCCTTCTCCTGTCTCTGTGGGGACTGGACACAAACGCCAGTCTCTTAAGCCTGCCCGTGCACTGGGGGACACTGAGAGTTACCGAGACTTGTCTTCCCTTTTGTCATTCTCTCTTTTTCTCCCCTCCTTCTTGGCAACAGGGATAGACATATCCAGCTACATATCCATTCCTCTTTTGGTTGGGGTGAGTGGGTAGAAGGGGTGGCTATCTCCCCTCTACCCAGGGGAGGAAGAATCTCCAGCTTCATTTCTGCTTCATTTGAGATACTGTGACCTGTTTTTATTTTGAAATGCATAAAAAAAATTACTGCTACAAAAACAGCCTCTTACTCTCCCATCTATCCCTTGCTTATGTCCTGTAACTGATCCCAGTTTTCCTCACTCATTCTCCTCTTCACAGTATTCATTTTCTTACATGGTTTTATTTTTAAAGACATTTGAAGTTGCTGTTCTTGTGGATTTTTAAGTACATTTTTTTTCTGCTGAATATATTCTATATATATAAATATATATATGATGTCTGGCTACCTCGTTTTAATTTGTTACTTTTTTTTTTTCCTCCTCAAAAGCCCTGGAATTCTTACAGGAAAGAGATTTTGAGACTGAAACATTTTTGTGCCTAGACTGGAATAATGCCCCTTGGGTTTGTTCTTCTTTTTCTCCCCACCGCCCCCGCCTTTGGTTTTGGTTTGGTTTTTTTTTCCTAAATTTTTGTTGTTTGGTTTTTTTTTTAAGCTTACCCTATTGTGTCCCACCTTCACATTCTGGTTGTGCCTCTCCCTCCCTTATCACTGGGGACTGGGGACCTGAACTGTGCTTCTGCATTTTTACTCTTCTAGCACGAACGTGTAACATGTGAGAATACACGCTGAGGATTGGGCTACTGTTTAAAGAAATGTGTAAAATGCAAGTTTTTTGGGATTTTTTTTGTTTGTTTGTTTAAAAAAATATATAGATATATGCAAATGCTTTCCCCTCCCAAATTACCTACAAAAGGTCACTATGCGAGGCTTCCTGTTTGTAGGTGGAGAGGAGCAGAGCTGGCCTGCAGGCCCCGAGGCTGTAATGCGAAGGGGAGGAGACTGAAGTTCATCAGTCTTATCTCTGTTATGTCAATAAAATGGAGCTGGGTCTTTGGCTATATTTTTATTATTATTATTTTAAGGAGAAAGAGTAAGGTTTTTTGGGGTTTTTTTGTTTGTTTTTTTTGTTTGTTTGTTTTGTTTAAGGAGAAGTACCTTTTTTTTCACTCCTCTGTTCAAAATCTCAAATTCTCCACAGTAACAGGCCAGACCATGGAGTTAACGCAAACCCAGAGACCCCCTATGGATTAATTGTACTGTTTGTGAATTTGTATAAAAAATAACAAAGATCCTCTTAAAACATTTTATATTCTTACAGTAAAAGGTTAAACATATTTATATAATAAAAGAGGAAATATGAAGTATGTTTTTGAAAAAAAAAAGCTGTATCTGTGTTGTCTGTGCTTTTTAAAGATATGTTTCTGTTTATTTGGCTATTTGTTGGGTTTGGTAAGTATGCTGTGTGGCTGATGCCAGGGTCTGGGGCTGGTCCCTCTTGCTGAAGTGAGTGACGAAGGAGGAGAAGGAAGTAAGAGAGCGTGGTGCCTCCCGTGCAGGATGTTGAGTAACATCACCATGAAGAGGTTGTAAGGAAGGGGTTTGGTAGGACTAGCCTTGTCTGCGAGGGCGCTCGCAGCATCTGTGGGGAGAGACCGAGTTCAGCTGCGCATCGGCGTGAGGTGTCAGCTCAGTTTGAGGTCAGACAAACCGAAAGTGCTGAAGCTTGCTAGCAAGTGGATCAAGCATTCAGAGGTAGAGGAAGGCATCTGGGAGGGGGGACAGAAGGGCTGTGGTTTTTAATTTTTTTAAAGCTCCAGATAGATGGTAGAGGGGTTTTTTGTGATTTACTTAAATGGAGGCCCACCTGCGTGGTAGCCCTGTCAAATAAAAACATTGCCTAGCAGCGACAACCACCTCATAAGTGCATGAGGACCTGAGAAATCCTTGGTTGGTTTCCAGTGCCCAGGAGCAGATTAAAGAGGAAGTAAAGTGGGAACGTTAAAAAAAAAAAAAAATTGGACTAATCTAAGGTGTCCTTTGTCCTATACCATAATCTTCCTCCTCAGCGTATGACTTTTAACCCCGACGGGGTCCCTTTTTTAGTCTTCCACGATGTGGGTTTTTTTATTGTTGCCGGAGCTTAAGCGGTGTTTATAGGGCAGCGACAAAGCCCATCTCCCCCAGCCCGGCGGCGGGGCTCCCTCACTGCCCCTTTCCTGCCTCGAAGGAGGGGGAATACGAAATGGTGGAAGATGCTGGAGCCATTGTTCAGCAAAGTTAAAAGAGGAGCTGTCCTTGCCTGCTTGCTCAGTCATGCATACTCAATCTGGCCGGGCCCGGGTCCCTATGGAAAGGAGGAGGGCGATTCTTCCCCTCTTTTTAACATTCCTCTCCAGGCCTGGCTGTATTTAAGCTGCTTTCCTCCGCGCCGAGGAGGAGGGAGGGGGATGGTCTGAAGTTCCTGTATATTTGCATTTTAAGCACTTCCAGCGCTGAGCAGGCCACTTTGTATCCCCATGCGCTACCCGGCTCCAGCAGCACTCGCTGCGGTGCTGCTCCAGGTGGGTCCGATGCCCCAGCAAAGGAGGTCCTCTCTGTGTACAGGGCTGGCCTGCCCCGGGCTGCTCAGGCTCTGCCTCCACAGGTATTTTTGGCTGAGGCTAGGCTGGGCGTACTTTGCTGTTGCCAGCTCTAACCACCTCAACCCTTTTATGTCAGCGTCACACTTCAAAGGGGAAAATAGCGCCCAGCTCTGGCCCTCTTAAAAAGAAACACTATTTATCTGCTCTGCATCCTAAGGACCTGGACTGTCTCAAGGTTTAGATTTTGGGGTGCATGTTTCACCCCCACCCCCCGCTTCTCTCCAAGACTTCTGAGCTTTCTGCTGGGAGTCCATCACAAAAGCTGCATTGTTCGCTTTAGGGAAAGCCACCACAATTGGATCTAATTGAGCCTGACACTATATCCATCTTCCTCTCCTTGGAGGGAGGTGTGGGATCTGTCTTTCCTGTGTTAAGAAGTTTACAGTAACTTAACCAAAAAAGAGGATGGATGGATGAAAGCTATAAACAACAGGAATCCCAGATCAGGCTCCCATTACTGCTGCGAGTGCAAATGTTCCTGTGGCAGCAGCAGTTCCCACCAGGGATGGGCAAGGATACATCTCCCATAAGGTAGGTTTGTTTCTGCTGTGTTTGAGTGACAGTGGCATCTCTTCTTATTAAGCCCCATGAATGGGTAGTGGGGCATCTACGTCTAAATATAATGTGTATGCTTGTAAATTCTGTAATCGGAACTAAGACAGGATTTTTTTTTGTTCTCCAAACAAAAAAAAACCCTCAAACTTCCTCCCCACTTTAAAAAAACACAAAACCAAACAAACAACAAACCAAGCCAAAACATTGACCACGTGGCCCACAATGCTATTTAAGGGGAACCCAAGCATTAAAGAAGCTTCCAAAACCAAAGCCTCCCTGAAGCCCAGAGTTTGACACCCTGGGATGTTCCCATAGATGCAGCAAGTGCTGCTCATGCCTTCCTCATGGTCCAGCGTGACAGCACCTCCTTGGGCACAGAGGCAGTCCTTCCTGTCCAGAGAGGCCAGGGCTGGGGGTACACATGTTTACCAGTAAAGAAATGCATTTCTTAAAATAAATAACCCATTGCCAGCAACCATAGACCAATTACCACGTGACTCCTCAGGGTAACAAGGAAACTTAAATTTTCACTTTCCAGCCGCTCTTGAATTTTTGAACATGACTCAGTTGGCAATGGGGGTAGAAAACCATAAAAAAAAAAACCCACTATTTGGAAATGAGCTGGAAGTCTCCCATCCGTGTCAGCGAGCCTGCAGTGCCCCAGTGGTGGCTTTGGTGCCAGCTTTTGCCTCTGAGCTCAGCAAAAGTGCTCCCAGCCCACTCAGCTGTGCCAGTTGGAGCAGCAGGGTCCCTTACCTACAGCTGCACAAACCGGGGCATGGAGGATGAAGGATGAACCAGGGACCCATTTTCTGGACTGGTGGCTCTGGGGAGCAGAGGGACCACACTTGGAGAGGTGGTGGCAGAAAGCAGAGCAGAGCAGGAGCGACACAAGGCAAGGATGAAGAGACTGGGCAGGAGAAGAGGTGGCCAGGGACCAAGGGGCAGTGGCGAGGGACGCCGGCTCGCAAGCTGCAGCAAAGTCCCTATGTGTGGGGGAGTCCCTCAGCAGCTGCTCCCACGGCCAAAGCTGGTGGCTGGCTCCTCTCCCAGGGCGATGAGGAGGAAAGGGAGGCTCCACCTGGGTCCTACTGCCCTTGCACTAGCATATAGTAACTCAGCACATGACAGATTTATACATTTTTATACCTTCCCACTCCATGCTGTGGGTTCAGCTGAATCAGTTCGTCGTGGTGATTCTGGGGGTCCTTTGTTTCCCTGTTAATAAATAACAGGGTCACGGGGCAGCTGTCACGCAAACCACCTGGGGCCTGTGCTAGGACAAGAGGAAATATCCGTGCTAGATAGTACAGAACTTACTACTGAAACTACCTTTTGCAGTCAGGGAAGAGTTAAAACAAGAGCGGGTGGCCAAGACACCCAGAGTTTTTGGAACCAAAGC